GAGCCCAAATCGAAGCTTCCAGAACACTGCAGCGATATGTGCGGAGGTGAAGTACGTGCGACGAACATGGGTCGAGTGAAATATGAAAATGGTGAAGTACTCTTATTTCAAAGTCAGGCAAAATCAACGGATGTCTTTTTCACTCCATTTCCTCGTGTTAATTCGTCGGACACTGAATGTTACGAGAATGAACTAAGCGATCTTGTCGGATTGAGTCTCTCCATCGAGCTCTATACTCCACAGTTGATGAAAGTGATTCATGCCTATTTGAAACAACACTTTTCAACACAGTGCGGCGAAAACAGAACATGTGATGTCTCTCTAGTGCCAATGAATGCTATTCGCATCGCTGAAAAGGGTTTTCGAACAAATAAGTCTCAACAAATGTACACCATTAACGATGAATGGCATTCAAACACTCTTTTTCGACAGTCAATGGAATTCTTTATACACACGACGAATAGCAGCGTCTGTGAAAAGCTTCGCTCATTGATCACCGAACGATGTCATTTCGCTAATATTGAAATACAGTACATGCCTAATTTGGAGAAGATAACTGAACGACATGTGGATATTACTGCTGACCAGATCACTACTACACCGATGTTCAATCAAATTCGATCACAATTCCCCAATTCCAAGACAATCGCTCTTATGAGTAGTGATTTCAAACAATTAATCAGCGAAGTTATCGACAAAGTTACAATTAAAATCCGTGTACAAGAAACTCCCAACAGTTCATTGTACAATTCGAGTGCTCTTGATCGTCAACTCAGACAACACTTGCAAGTGAAACAGGTTAGCAAATCATACATTTTTTCGAAGTTGATGTTTTACTTATGAAAATCTTAAAAGGATATGGTTTTCGACTTGTCTAAATGTCTTTAGACGAAGACTTGTCAAAACTCTATATTTCATCTGCGTTCTTAGAATATACAACAAGAGTGTCCTTAAGATAAGGTTGAATACGTTGATAAAATATTACGTTCAGGAATACTATTACAAGTAATGCTCGTCCCAGGACTCGCTTAGCTCTTTCTCGTAGAAATGCGTCCTCTTCACGTTTATTGCAAAAACAATTCAAAATCTTGCTCTTCTTTATTAATCATTACGCGCCGCACATATTCGCAGCCTATTCAGTAGTATCTACAGACGAAAGCATATGAGCGGTCGGCACTAGTTTCTTCTCAAGCTATCCTTTCACCACTAAGTGAAGTGCGAGTAATCATATACGGAAGAAAGCTTACAGTCCATGGTTGCCACACTCTTCATTACAAGAAGGAGAATATTCGGATACCTATAAAAATAGATTAACCTGAAAACTCGGTTTCTATCAGTGCACGCCATTTCTTTCAATTCACATCCTCTCGTCAGTGGTCTGAGCAGATGAGGCACAAACTCGGAGTCCCCGCACGGAAATACCTCTAGAAATGTTTTTTTGATCTGCGGACACACAAGCAGTCAGATAATTTATGTTTGCATGACTCTTCTTTACGAGAAAGAGAATAGATAGATGGTTTCACACGACATTAGGGAATATTTTACATTTGTTCAGAGTTATCTTGAAAAAGTGAACAATCATCTGTGGAACTCACTCTACTGGATGCGCAATCAAAGCCGACCAGATCGTTTGGCTAAAGCAATCAATACGATGATTTATAAGAATGCTACTAATAGCAACGATTTTCTCTACGACAGCCGAGCAGCTAAGAGTATTCACAAATTCAGCCTGGCACAGCAAGATATTGATCGAATTGAAGAACTTAACAAGCGACTTGTTATTCATGCGCACAGAAAATCGTCAATGGAATCTCGCCAAGGTGTTGCCGAAAGTGGAGAAAGTTCGAGCGTTCCTGAACTGTTCGAAATGGATAGCGATGATGATGATGATGACCGTAGCAACAAAAATGAACACCAAGCACAACAATTTGAACAGAATCAAAACATGACACATTCAATAAATTACAGGACGCAATACATCCTTTCACGCGCCGAAATTGAGCAATACCTTAGCGAACTGTCGGATCACGTACATTTAGTAGATGACATCGTTCTTCCTAAGTCGATCAATGTTCATCTCATCAATATGAGTATGTTAAGAGGCGAGACAGAACTATTCTCGCACACCGCTTTCGTTCGCACTCGAAACAACATTCACGTTTTGCCTCTTCGGTGTCCATCAAAGGGCAATAAAAGAATTAATATGACCACTGGACATAATGATCTCGAAGATAAAATCCAACAACTAACAAAGATGGTGCAAGAACTCACTAATCAATCATCTGAATGCAGTCGAGAACAGAAGGAACTTAAAAACAGAATCGAACAGCTTGCTGCTACCGTTGAGGAGTCCACAAATCGGTCGTCCGATAATAGCCGAAAGCACAAGGAACTGAACGGCAAGTTTGATCAACTGAACATAACTGTGAACGGATTCATCAATCGATCCTTTGAATGGCAACAGGAACCGAAGAAGCAAAATACTATGTCGGAAGAAACAGATACTGGCAGAAGAGTTAACTGTAAGAAACACTTCAGACTAAAGCTATAATTTTTCAGTTGTTGAGACGAATCAGCTAGTCGTATTTGATATGTCAGTTTTCTACTCTTTCTTCGATGATATTGGAAGACAGCTAAGGTAGCAAATGCGAGATACTAGTATTTAAGTTTTGACGGTGCAGGTTTTCAGTCTTCTCTTCCATCTTTCCCGAACAAGAGATGACTATGACGGTCGGGCTTACAAGTAAGAGTGTCATTTTCCTATTTAAGTTAACTTTAAATTACTCATACGTTAGATTCAAAATAAGTTAAAAGCTTCGAATACCCTTTGAAAGCGGACCGTCTAAGCTATGCAACAATGAAAAAATGAATCACTAACGATTGTTGAGCTTTTTTTATGGATAAGAAAAACACATTGAGGATTATTACTTAGGGATACGTAACTAGCTTAATATCTGCTACAAATATAACCCTTCAGAGTTAGTTCCATAAGTTTCAAGATGGACAAAATATTCTAATGTACAAAATGATCAGTGGGATGACTATTGAGGAACAACATGAAAAAAGACTCTGTTTGACACATTGTCTTTTCCATATATTTGTACAATACCCAATGAACATTTTATAAATAAATGGAAAAAATGATGTGTCAAGAAGAGTCTTTTTTCATGTCATTCCCTTTCCTCTCTTCCCCATTGTTTATCCTCGTGGCTGACTTAGTCGGTTAGATACTAGAATAATCCTGCAAGAACTTCATCTGTATCTCCTGTAGAACCTCTATCGGGGATAACGGGTTAACTTACTCGTCATTTGTAATTCTTTTCATTTAAAACAAGTTCAATTACCCTATTTTTCATCGTTCTTATAGCTCTTTTATTATCATCAATCCTAGATCATCATGGTACTGTGACGACACTTTTACGTTCCATCCTCTTTAATTTGGAGGTATTCTAGATCCTCATTTGCACTTATAGGAAAGTACTTTTGAGTTTTGCTAGCTTATGTAAACTACCGACGGAAATAAAAGTCCATCAAATAACGGAATTTACTTCTGGCCTCGAAATAGCCAAAGTATATCATAAGATCATCTATTGAGAAGAGCGAGATACATACAGTTGACAGACTTGACAAGCCAGTTCATTAGCTCTCGCTATTTAGTTGTAATACAGTTTGTGTATCTTGGTTACTTTGCTTATTTGTATATTTTCTGTTAACAAACAGCTCAACATCTTTAGAGAGTTACAATATATATATAGCAAAAGCAATTAATGAAGTGTAGCTATCTAAAAAGTGTAAACGAGATAGTGATAATTTGGTATTCATTTTTGCACTGAAAAACTATGGACGTATCGGTATTAGAAGAGATCCTTTACAAAAATGAATCATATTTTGTGCGCTCCATGTAAGAATTTATTAAACCTAAAAATTAATGTTGACGTAGAATGTTTCATTTTGGATTATCACAATACTCGGTAATCTGCAATGCGTATCTGGTGAAAATGAAAAACTCTGATTTTCAAACTAACAAACCAAGGTGTACGTGCGTCTCAAAAGTAACAAATATCTCCTTTTTATTGCATTCGAAGTGCCTATTGACTGTTCTATCCCAATGTCCTACAGACCTGTCTCAATGCAACTGTTAGGGAACTCTATATTTAATTCATTACATTCGATGCTTTCCCGAAAGACACGTAATTTTTAGCCTTCATTTCTCGTACATACCGCTAGATCCCGATGATACTCAGGATATATGGATACTTTAGCAGCAAACGCAGCGTAGAAATGCATTAGAATGGCCATAGTGTTAGATTCCCAACGAACAAATAATCGTCCATTGGTTTCCATGAAAACCTGTTACCTCTTTCGACAATACTCTGACACGTGCCACAGCTTTCAGCCACTGGTTTTACGCCACTTTTGCAATATAAAAACAGAATAAACCGAGCCGTCATCTTTTAAAGCACAAAAAGAGTTTAACAAAACCTTAATAAATCAAAAAAAGCTCGAAATCAAAACACATGAAAACGCAACCGTGCCTTTAAATAGTTGAACATCACGACTAAAGGCTCTGCCAAAATATAGCAGGTGAATATCTAGAATACCTCCAAATTATAGAGGATCGAATGTAAGAGTGTCCTCACAATGTGGAACTTGAGACCTTCAAAGTATCTTGAGGATCTAGGATTGATGATAATAAAGGAGCTATGAGAACGATGAAAAATAGGGTAATTGAATTTTTTTCAAATGAAAAGAATTACAAATGACGAGTAAGTTAGCTTTATTTCTAAATTTAACTTATGTAAAAACTAAGTTAAAATAAATTTAAATTGACATTTCTAAAATGACCTAAACGAGAAATACAATGTAAGGACGTCTTCTTAAACATGAATGGCCAACAACCTATAAGCTGTTTTCAACACATTATATCAACGAAAAGAAACTGATCGTTCTCTTTGATCATTTCAGACATTCCAGATGTATCAAATCGACTAACCACTCCGATGACCAGCATCGGTGATGGTCGAATATCTCAAGTACGTCAAGTATCTAGCTTTCATGGTATTAAAACAAGTGGCATATTCAAGGTTATTTTAACTATGAATAAAACAAAACCAGAAAGTGTTATACTCATCGGTGACCAACTAAAGTCCTTGGTGAAAATCGAAACATCTGTTTATTTGGGCATTTTGTCCGTTCAAGTCACTGGAGGTAGTTCATCATCAAGTAGCACACGACATCGACATGTATCAAATTCTACACACTCACGATCGACTAGTACTCAACTTGGCAGCAGCGAGACGGAAGTACTTATCAACGCTCATCGTTTGATTAGCTTGAAAACGAGTAGTATGGAATCGGTGGAAATTTCCGGTGCTGGTATCAATGCTGATATATTCGAACTTGAATGTCGTGGATTTAATTCGATATATGGAACTGTACATGTCAAACAACTCAAGGCTATCATTGATGGTTTCTCTAAGGCGCATTTAATGGGTACAGCTAATATCCTGACAGTAACAGTCGGTGGCAGCAGTAAACTTCATGGTTTGGATCTGTCAACACGAATAGCTAACGTAACTATTCGTGAAGATGGCTATGCTGAAATCAGCTGTAATCAAACTATAACAGTTAATATATCAGACGATGACGGCGAAGGAACAGTGAAATACAAAGGTACCGCAACTGTTATTCGAGCTCCTAAATCAACAGGAGGAACAATTCAAAAGATTGATTAACACGATTTCTTGAGGGCGAGGGTGTGGGTGGTGAAAGAGAAGACACCCAAACTCACACTCTCTTTAAACTATCTGTTCATTTGTCAAAAATCAGATCGTATCAATAATCTTTTTATTTTACAAATAAAATACGTTACAATCATGATAAGAACATACATCGACAACATTTATTTTCACAGTACAAATTCTTACAAATAGTTAACATTTCTACTTTAAGTCAAACACTTTCTGCTCTCTAATGATCACAATTAAGAATGAATAACCGTTGAAACTAATTTCATATCTGCAGTAGTCGTTCTGTTGCTGTTTAGATGGTTGAATCTGATTCGGATGATTTTTCCATTTCAATGGTAATGAAGAAGATAGAAGCTTTTTTAATTCTTGTCGAAATATTTGTGATGCCATTGTATGTAAATAGAATGAAACGGTAGGAAAAAGCATAATGATAACTTCAGCTGCATAACTAAGAAATCCTTCGATAGCTGTTCGATCTACTGATTTATTTGTGACATAAATTGTTGCTGCATTATAAAAGTAAAGAATGTTCCAAGATGTTAAAGTTATCACAAAGACCGTTATTTGAAGAAAAAGCATGGCGACAACTTGTTGATCACGTTTTCGATCCGCATTCTCTTCTTCGCTTCGGACATTTGAAGCCAGTTGTCGACGACGTTCACGTTTAAGTCAAAGATTTCCTTGAATGAAGATGACACAAATGATCTTGAGGGTGTGGGTGTGATGGAATAGAATAGTATCGCCCACACCCACACGCACCCGCCCACACACTCCTGAGTAAAAAGTGAATGAGCACTTGGAAATGGTCTCTTATTCGTATTTCTACTTTGTTGTCAAAGTTCATTATAAGAACAAAATCTTTTTCTTTCGACTCATCACTTTATGAGTTTCTATTGGCATTATATTCTCTATTCAATATAACGATTTACATGGGATGTTTGTTGGGAAGAATCGACGAGGACTTCCATGTTTTTCTTCGTTTCATGTTTCAATCTAAACTCATCACATACCTTATTCATCGATGATCATGATATTCTATACAATATAAAATTTATTTCATAATTGTTTTTTTCTCTCATGCATATTTGTAAGTGGTAAACTGATTCAAAAGGGCATGTTTTTCTCTCGAATGAAACAATAATCTATTGTGCAATTTCAATTATATTTTGAAGGTCAAAAAAAAATATAAAAACGGAATTAGATTTGATCCTTATCAAAGATGATATTATATGAAGAGAAACTCATTTTCTCGAGTGTATACAAAGAAAACAAGCAAATAATTGAAGACATATATAGACAATGGATGTTTAACAGTCGACCAGTTATTATATTTTTGAGGGTGGGTGGGTGTGAATAGGGAACTAACACCCATCCACATTCACACCCTAAGATGGAACATCAAATAATAATCGAGCACTTTTTGCATATGATGATTTACAAAATATTAAATGTGTTAAATTAATAAACACAAAAAAAAATACAACTGCACATTTTTACAATTGTAAATAAATATTTTTTATTTCGATCAGCTGTTATAAACACATAGTTATTAATTAAAATATATAAAAAAGTTAGATAATCTTTCATAGAAACAAATTTTACAAATATTAATCCCTTTCTCTTTGTCGCCCGTTTTTTTTGTCAAAACATATTCCTAAAAAGTAACAGAATATTATTTTCGATGCATTAATCATATATTTTGTTATTTAAAATTTTATAAATAATTATTTTACGACTTCGTATTGAAATATAAATTGGAAAAAAATTCTTTCAAGTATTCAATGATATATTCAACTGTATTAATAATTTCACTAAACTGTTCTTATTTATATTTTTCATTTATTGAGAGTGTGGTGTGTATGTGAACCTGCATGAAACAGAAAAAAGGACACCCACACCCTCGAAAGAATGTTGTTATTTGTTGAATATCTGATATGACTAAGATGAACAGTTCTCAATGTATTCTTGTCTTTTATAATATGATTAGGAAAAAAACCGAATTTTAAAATAAATGAAAAAAAGCTTGTTTGATATAGATGATAAATGATTAAAAAAACTAACATTTGTTTTTTAATACTAACAAAAGAAACCGAACGAAAGAATGAAATATGTTTAACTGGAAGATGATGCTGTCGTATCTAATTCAATCAAATTTTTATTTAAATCAGGCAAGTCTTGCAATCAAACAAAATAAAAAATAATAGGAATTCATGTAAATAAAAAAAATAGTTTCTTACTGGTATTCATAATTTGCCGTTTCACTCACATAAAATTGGATATCAAGTTCAACATCCTGGACATCATTCAAATCTCGATCCTAAAATATGGAGAAAAGAGAGTGTGTCGCGAGAAAATTAAATCATTTACTGTTGATACAATATTCAATTTATCTTTGGTATCACGTTTATTCTCTTTAGTCAGTTTTTGTATTAACAAATCTGTTTAGTAAATACCCAGAACGATCATTCCGGCCATCGGAATCTGCGCCTCAAACAGCCTGAAATGATTATAAAACGGGGTGTTATTGCATTAATTCTCGCCGTATTTTGTGGTAATCCGTCATCTCTGAAAAGTAGCCGTTTTCACGCTACTTTTACCGTTTTCTGGGATGCCAGATTACGTTGATGAGAAAGCATTGGTTTTTGTCGTTTTTACATCGTTTACGGTGCCGGTGCTTTTGATATAGGTGTGAGTCTTCGTCTTTAAAAGTTTGATAACAACGTTGAATACAGGGTGTGGGTGCATGCTTAGGATTAGCCATACACTCATACCTACCCTGATTATGGAACAGAAAATTACATCTATGGTGGTTGATCTACAATCGAGTTAGAATAAAATAATAGTCTATTTTTCTTATTACACATTTGTTATTTTTCTGTTAATTGTATGTGAATAAGAGAATTTATGCGAAATAAATACTTATCAGATAGGAATGTTCATATGTGTATTAAAATAAGAAAGAAAAGATTTAGGTAACATTCATTTTCAGTTTCGTTCCCATTCCATAAATATAAATGAGAATTGGAACGGGAATAAGGAACTTGAGGAAAAAAAATCGTTCCCGCTGGTCACTATCTAACAGTGGCGGTGAATCCGTGTCAGTGTCGCCAGTGCTGCAGTGCATAACTGTGTACGTTAGCGGTGACAGTTTCTCAGTATTTTTACTGGAGTTGCTCATCCCTAGTCATAAATCGTCTCATAAACGTTTTTTGGCCAATATTTAAAGCTCATAAACCCCTTGATATTCCCATTTTATCAGGTTTTAAGTAAGATTTATTCTGATTGACTAAACGGTAGACAAGGGTTTGTTATACGTCGCACTTTCATAAACGTTTTGAAGGTATATTATTTTGCGCTATTTTTACGGTATGTACGAACATTGCTTTTAGTTTATCGGAAGTTCGATAATTTATTTTATAATTACATCACACACTTAATGATGTAACCAAAACTGGTGACAGTTTGAGAGTTGCCACGCTCTCAGCTTTGCTCACTCTCACTCCGAATAAAAGTGATTACTGTAGGTAATGCAAGAATAGAAAAAAACTTTATCTTTGCATTTTTTCTTTTTTTATACACTTGAAGATAAGGGGTCTGTAGTTCTTGTATTCTTCAGCATATTCACTTTTATTTTATACTTTGTAATTCGTCTACAACTCATATATTGAAATTACAATAAACAAGAATACAACTGCCAAGTGGTAACAGCGAAACAGAAACTGAAGGAGCCATAGTCATTGAAGTTTCTTTTATACGTCAAAGATATTTTTACATAAAACTCAGATAGTGTTTTGTTTTTTTTCTGTTTTCGCTTGTGATTATCTCGTCCCAGTATATTATATCGTGACGTTGATACCTTTTTTAGTTTCAGTAGTACGAGATGAATAGTGAGGATACAAATGAATCAAAATCTAGTCTTCGATTTTTTGTTTCTATTCCAGATAAAATATATTTATTAGCCTTCGAACAGTTCTCATCGACTTCAATACGTGTTTGTAATCGTTCGATCAACAGTTATTTCTTCTTCTGTAAGTAATGTGATTATGATGATAGATATAATGAATAACGCATTTTGAAAAGGACTTTCAACAAGGAAAGCCTTCTTTTCGATATATTTTATGTTAAACTAAGATCATACACGCTTTGGACTTTTCACACTCGAGTTCGATCCAAGACCTTTCTTTTGGGTCCAGTTTCAACTCGAAACCTTCTTCTGAATTCGTCTCCTGTCTAATCCAAGCGCGAATTTGAATGTTTCTTGAGGACTATGGTTTTCGTTTACACAGTAATAAATCAATGGCGTCCGTAGCTTTTGTCAGTATTATGATAGACTAATAACATTTAAGCTAGCAACTCGATATGAGCCATTTTTTCTTGTTAAAAATACAAAAATCTTTTATAATGAATATGCGTTTTCCATACCTTTTTTATGCATTTTGCTGAAAAACCTCGAGACGTTAGATTTTTTAACATCATAGTAAGAATAGAAACTGCGTGGTACAATATAAACAGAAACCATGCAATACAAATTAAAAGAATTCGTCTAAATACAAGGAGCATGAGTGAACAATTTAGGTGGCTGAAGTATCAATCTCCATGTACCTTACATAGTCAAATTACTTATTCATCTTTCTCATATCTGCTCGTTTATCGAAATTTACAAAAGAATAGATATCATTACATCAGTTCAAAAGTCTTTCAACTTCATTCTATTCATTGAAAAAAGGTGTCATAGATCCAATCCAATTCATTTCATAACTATTGACTAATTTTCTTAATTCACTGCAAAATGAGTTTAGAGAATGTAATAAATATTTTCAACTAAATTTACGAACGGAACTGGCTCGAAGGTAATAGCATAGATTTGAATTAAACTTCTTTTCGAACTGAAATGTTTTGCTTTGAAAAATGTATAGTTCTTTTTTGTTCTAATTATCATTATTCAGATACTCCCAAACAAATTGATAGATTAAAATGAGACCTTAAAATTGCTTCGAGAAAAATACAATATGAGTATCACGGAATCATTCTTCACAAAATTTGAGACTATTCAAATTTGATTCTTGTCAAGTCGAGGCGGATTCGTATTTAAACCAGCCGTACCGTATCAGAATCGAATTAAAAAAACAGAGGTCGAATCATAATTCAAAAGCTCAATCCGCTCAGGACTCTAACTTAAGTGCAAGCACATTTTCTATCAAATTCAATTTCTAATCAGTCTACCATATAATATAATATAATATAATATATAAGTAATAGAATATAGATATGAAATTTTTTAAACAGGAATTTTCGATCTCATACGACCACTTTCAACTATAAAATACAATTTTTCAATGAAAACCAAATAACAACTAAGTCAAAATGCAGTTCATCAACGCCTAACTTCATTTTGCTAATTTCTAATTATTCTGTTTTCATTGAAAAGATTGTGTTTTATAGTTAAAAATGGTCGTGTGAGATCGAAAATTCCTCTTGAGGGTGTGGGTGTGGGTGTCGATGTATATTAAACGAACACCCACACCCACGCCCCACCCTAGGTTTCGGTCTCAGGTTGCTATTGACTCATGTCAGGAGATGACTTAAGTTTGTGTATTGATATAGAATGTAAGTATTTGTGCTTAAATATAATGCCAAAAAGTTGTTGTTATTTTAATCCTTGCCAAGAGAGTAAAGGTATGAATTATTATCATTTAAATTCTACTATTTTCTGCTATTTGAATTTAATCAGAAGGCAATATCAATGGATCCTGAAGCGCGTGCATCCAGACAAACGCGAAAATCAATGACCGATGATATCAATACGTCTAGACTAAACACATTATTAGTGGATGATAGAGTAGTCACAACCAGCAATCCTACCAGACACATTCAGTGGATGTGGCATTCCAGTACGGATCCATTTTCGAAGTCTGAACCAGTTGAATGGCATCCGTACTCTGATATGGACAATATGATGATTGAAGAAGCATTCAAAGCAGGTACAACTCATGCTATGATGGATGATTACCGTATTGATTTTGAACACAATCTTCATATCTCCAACAATGATGTCAAAAACCAACACCATGTTAAACGAATGTTATGCAGTGGAGATGAAAAGCATGTCCGATCGGAAAGATTTTTATCTAATCCAGTCGCTCCGAAACGTCCCTATGGAGATCAGTATGGTTTCATTTCACCTTTCATAAAAGAAGTAGCCAAAGGCCTAAACCTTTCAAAAGAACAATTACCGTCGAAAAATGAAACTATCGTTTCAACGATTGTAGAAAAGGCTGCTCTTGGCATTATTGAAGAAGGTGAGAAGATTGGGAAGCAACGTGAGGCCGAACAGATCGCTAAGATGTTAATGGAAAAAAAAGAAGAGGGAATAAAGGAAGTATGGAAGCGTTGTGCTCTTCTCTATACGATGACAAGCTTCTTATACGCAAAAACAAACGAGATTATGCGAGTGATAGGAAGTGAAGAACATGAGGAAATATGGCGAAGCAAAATACTCACATTCGGTCCATTTTGTTTGCTTCTGTGGGATAATCCGTTCGACCGTAAAGCGGCCGAACCAGGAACAATACTTTATCGTGGAACTCAATTGTCGGATGATATGATTGCCTGTTTTCAGGATGATTGTTCAAAAGATCCAAAACCTCTGTGTTCCTTTCAAGCGTTCACATCATGTACTCGAAATCGCAACGTAGCTGAGATGTTCGGTAATGTCTTGCTTATTATGACAATTCGCATCGCTTTTACAATTGATCTCGAACCATATTCAAATTATGTTGATGAAGAAGAAGAACTATTACTTCCTGGTGTGTGCTTCACCATCGACCAAGTAGAGTTTGACAAAGACAACAACAAACACTTGATCTACTTAACTCTTCAACAAAAGCACGACAGTAAGTCAATATAATCTTTTATTGAATTTATAGACCATTGTTTATGCATTTTGCTCATATTTCTGTCATATTGAGGGTGTGGGTGTAGATGTTCTGTTGATCTACAATCACACCCACACTCTTCCTTGTACTCCCTTGCACTCTGCCCAAACTTCAAAAAGCTTTGAGAGAAGATGAAGTCTCGCTTTTTTTAATTTGGTCAAATTTTACCTTCTTTTATGAAATATCATTTAGAACCCGACAAACATAAAATAACCAAGAACTTTCAACAACCGACAGAAGAATCTAATACTGATGTTTATTATGATCTTTATCGTTATCGTGCTGATTATTATGCTAGTCGTGATCTTCTCCGTGGTGATGATGATCGTCGTGCTCTTAGCCGTGATAATCAAGATGGTGTTGATTACGACTGGGATTAGCAATGAGATATAGCGTGGAGCAAGCGCATGATCTATTTGTGTTAGCGTGTTCGTTGCGCTTTTTTTGCTCGCATTTTTGCTTATTTTTTCATTGAATGGCGGGCGAGAGTGTGAGTATAAATCTTTTTAAATGAATACGCTAGAAATTTAAATAATTGAATCTTTTGTCCACGAAAATATCTTTTATCTAGGATAAG